CCTCTTTTTTTCAATTTTTGTCTCGAGATACATACATAATGTTCTCCGTTCGTTGAATTCGGTTTCTGTTTTGATGCTTAAAATGTTCGGAGATAAAGTGATTCAAAGTTTTTTTCACCTTTTTTCGCAAAAAACGCGGGACCCATTTTAACAAAAATTTTCTTTGTTTTTTTTCCAATTCTTTGCCCAAAAATCAACATTTTAGTATCAATATCTCAATTTTTTTTTACTGCAATCTAATTAACTAGATATAGTCATTGAAAATTTAGCACGGTCCTTAAATATTCTAATTACAATTTAATGTTGACTTCTAATTAAAATGATTTTGAATTAACGAATGTAAAATATTAAAATTTAGTTCAAATCGGCAAAAAAATTTCAACCAGACCCGAAAATACGCACACCAAAAATAGCTGCATGAAAAAGTCACCAATTCGTTTTTGCTCATAAATCGGCTTTGTTACAGATCAGTTTAAGGTTACAGTGATCACATTTGTATCAACCAAACCAACCAGCGCCATCACTGTTTTGTTTTCTCGCTTCTTACATTGAAAATAACTAGATCGCAAAATTAGGAAATTTGGGCTATGTAAGTTGAAAGAATCTTTGCTTTTCTCAGGGACTTAACTATCATACTTGGGGTCTTATGCACTAAACGGCCCAAAGTCAGTATTTCTACATCTTGATTTAAACTCAATGTATTTGAATCAGATTTATTACTGATTTTCTCTAAATAAGTAACTATTTCTAATTAAACAACTGTTTTTTTTTCTAAATAATTTAAGTCGTTTTTCAAGTGCTAGTTTATCATCTTTAACTATAGCCATAATTTGAAAAATTTTTAAGTTTTAAAAACTTTCTGTTTTTTGCTATGGATTGATGTCTCAATATAACATTTAACAGCTGTTTTTTTACCTACGCATAACTTTTTCTGTTTACGTTTAGTCATTTTATTGTTCAGTAGCTTCAAAATTATCTAAAAATTTCTTGTGATTTTGGTTTGAGAGTATTGATATCTGTATTTTCCCAATAAAGCAAGATATTAATAAAAATTTGAAGGCTGTTGCTCCGTTCAAAAACGTTCAATTATATGGTAAAGAGAAGGCGGCCCAAAAACAATCTCTGTGGGAGACAAACACACTTTGCTCTTTTTTTCAATTTTTGTCTCGAGATACATACATATTGTTCTCCGTTCGTTGAATTTGGTTTCTGTTTTGATGCTTAAAATGTTCGGAGATAAAGTGATTCAAAGTTTTTTTCACCTTTTTTCGCAAAAAACGCGCGACCCATTTTATCAAAAAATTTCTTTGTTTTTTTCCAATTCTTTGCCCAAAAATCAACATTTTAGTATCATTATCTCAATTTTTTTTACTGCAATCTAATTAACTAGATATAGTCATTGAAAATTTAGCACGGTCCTTAAATATTCTAATTACAATTTAACGTTGACTTCTAATTAAAATGATTTTGAATTCCCATAAACCAAAAATTTGGATGTTTTCTTTCTAAATTTTGTTTCTGAAAAATTTTCGGTTGTAGTTGCAACCGAACACAAGTGCGAAAGACCTTGGTTACCCAAAACACCAAAAGATTGGACGGACTTGCATTTACAATGCATAGAAAATGACCTGAATTTGACTGTCTTTCACAAATGATATAACAAAAGTAACAAACTTATATTTTTTGGCAAATTTTTTTAATGACGATTATATTAAATTTTTGAATTTTCAAATTATCTGACATTAATCAAGGCGTACATTAACACCCTATACAAAAGAAAAAGGAATTTTCAGCGTTTTTGAAAAAAAAATTAAGTGAAAAGAAAATAAAAGCCAATTTTATCGTATCCAGGACTACGTTATGCACACAAAATATTAAATTTTGCATGCAAAAATTTTTTTTCGAAAAATGTTTGTTTGCGTACGAAAATTGATTTGCGGTTGAAAAAAAATTACTCGTCATCAAAAAAATGCCAGTCATACAATTTTCATATATGGGAATTGTATGATAAGCATTTTTTTTCAAAAAACGAAAACCTCAGTTTTTTATCACCAGATTGTTTTATCAGAATCAAACAGCCACAGAAATGAGTTTATACCAGTTTTCAACCATTTTTAGAAATTGTATGAAAATTGTATGACAAGCATTTTCCCACACACTTGATGTATGGAATTGTATGGTAAGCATTTTCGGTGTATGGAGGTCAACCCGGGTAGTGGGTTTTGATGACAAATAAGTCAACCCAATTATATTGTTGTTAAACCGTAAAATAAAGTAAAGCGATTAAATTTCAATATATACACAATAGTAATTGCAATTTTCAATATGAAAAGTTCCTGGCTGAACATATTTTGCAAGATTTTTGAAATGAATAATTTATACACAAATTAGTTTTCAATTGCATGCGAGACCTGTCTACCATAGTTGCTTTTTCGAGGGACCACTCTATCATAGTAGTACCAAACTTACGATAATTTAATTGAAATCACCGATGCAAAAACCAGATCAATTTTGAGGCACTTTATTTACAGACACTCTTGAGGCACTTTGAGTCAAAATGTTCTAGTTTTTGGATTGGTGATTTCATTCAAATTATCGAAAGTTTGCCCACGTGAGGCAGGTTCGCACTCGCAGGTTAATCACGTTTGACGGACCGGTTAGTCACGTTTGACCACCTCCGGGAAACTAACCACCGGTGGTCTTGCTGAATCTCCTCTGCTTCTGCTATTGAATCATAGTCACCGTTCAAAACAGTTTTGCTTTTTTTGTGGGAAAGCAGTTTTCAACTTCAATACTATTATGCCAGCTTTCGACGTAGGAGATTTATGCGGTTAAATATTGACGCAGTTCAGGATCTACTAGGTGGGACGTTCAAACGAGCCCTGCTAGCTCAGTCGGTAGAGCGTTGGACTTTTAATCCAACGGTCAAGGGTTCGAGTCCCTTGTGGGGCGTATCTTTTTGACTAACAAAACGTCAATAATTTCTTTTACTGAACATGAAAAACAACTCTCGACAGAATAGGCATATGTCAGCGGCTCAATTTGCAGAACACGACGTCATGTTAATCGCAAATGATACAGAGAACCCTTATAGTTAGATATAATGTCGGTTCTTTAAAAATACCATATCACAAAATTGATTTTAGCAAGGACAGTTCTAGCGAGACTTTTTCCACTCGGATCCCACTATTGAATCAAGTTCATACTCACATGTGAAAGAGCCGGAGTAAAGAATCCATGCCAATATACCGCTAAAACAACACAAATTGGGTTTAAAAATAAAAAACAACGTCTTTTCAATTTTCTAAGAAAACTAAAGCCTGGAATGGTCATCAATTTATTGGTGTCTACAGGTAGTTTTTTGGTCGTTTTTGATCGGTTTTACAACCACGAAGTTAAAGGGTGTTTTATTTACTCCCAAAACTCCTCTCCCTCCTAGCAATCGAACAATATGCAAACAAAAAAGGATCTCTCTAACAATCTCCACCCTTTCAAGAAAAGGGCGGGGGGGGGGGGGTCTGGAGGTTGTTAAGTAAATCAATCAAAATGGTCGATTTTTCGACCAATCAGAATGCAGTAAAATTAGAATTCTCAATAGAAAGCTCAGTGCTAATTTACTGTATTTCTTTATTGGGGTGGAAGATTCGTAAGTAGGTACTATAGGGGGGGGGATTGTTAAGTAGATCCCAAAAAAATTACCTGTAAAAACTCGCAGTAGGGGGGATAACGAAAAAGAGCCCGGGGATTACATGGGGCGCTGAGAGAGGGAGGAGGTGGCGTCCACCTTGCTCCCACCCTTAATCCGCTATTTGTTGGAACTTTCTGGGCTGAAAATGCTATTTGTGGAAGCGCAAGTGAAAAATAACTAACATTATTCTTTTTAAATTTTGGATTTATAAGCAATATCCCCACAGCAACAACTTGTGGTTTCTGGTGATTCAAAAGTATCTGACCAGTTTCGAAAAAAATGTTGTTCGAACCAAATTTACACAATTTTGAGTGTGAGTGTAGAGCTAACAGGGAAGTTCATTATTTAAGTCACCTTATAAATTACCTTCTCTTTAGAACTGTTTGTTGTTTTAGATTGATCTAATCCAGTCTGGGATCCAGTCGACGATTCTGGTGAGGGACAAGGAGACCCCGGCAGACATCCACGTCAACTTCGACCCAGAGATATTCACACTCATCAGGTACACCCACATTTCATGTCAGCTCGACCAGAGCAAAAACTCAGCAAGGCTGCTCGTATCAAGGAAGAACACAGAATGTTCCGGTCGCCCTTGAAAGTTTCTAAAATGGACTTTTAGTTAAAATTGATTAAAAAATTTTTTCCCATACGAACGTTCAATTACAGAGTGATATGCTTCTAATTCAGTAATGCTTTAATTGGACAAACCGGCCTGCCTCAGTTCAAGTTAGACTAATTTCCGAGAGGAATTAATCAGCGGCTCACTATACGCGTTCATTGAAAACTGGTAAATAGCGCGCCTTTATTATCCCAAAATACCAAATTGTCATTTTTCAAACGACCATATTTTCGCAAAACTATCACAGGTGAAATACTTTTTGAAATTCCAGCTCAAGGCATCAGCACCTTTCAGACTAGTAAAAATTCTGTCAAAAAGGTTTTGTTAAAAAATCGATTTTTTTGGGAAAAAAGCAAACCCAGCACAAATTTTTTGTGACTTTCTTCGAACGACGGAATAAAAACAGACTCCAGAAAGTGAACGCTGTATTGTGGGACCTGTATACGTAGCGAGATTAAGTAAACCAGCCGATGTATAAACCATCCGAAAATGAGCGGAACATATAACCCAGCCGAAACGTTACATCACATCAATGAAATTTGCATTCGTAACTGTTACATAATTATTATAAAACATCTACGTAGTTTCGGCTGGTTGATACTTCGGCTGGTTTATATACCACCATAAGTAGCTTAACATCACCATAAGTTGCATGGCAGCAAATGGGTAACCTAGCAAGCAAAAAATACCCTTAAAAAATTCCCGGACTATTTTACGCAACTTAGTTACACATTAAAGTTTCAAATGTCGACTAACCTTTAATAACTTTGATTACAAAAAACTATAATTTTTCAATATTTTTTCAATGAAAATAGTGAAAAATCATAAAAGAACAGTAATTTCTGTATAAAAATAGTTTGATTTAGGAGAAACAACGGTTACCCAAGTCTAAGAAATTCCCAATTATTTTAACAGAATCAGCTAGCATAATAGAACTCTTTAAAATATAATGGCTCGATTGAATTCTGTTCAAAAATTACATTCCTTTTCAAAGAAAACAAGACTGCTCGTTTCGGGGCAAAGGCCTGAGTGTGCTGACTGCATTTCAAGCACTATTTAATGGTGTGCGCTTTGAAAATTTTTTAAACAAATTTTCAAAAAAGGAAAAATTTTATTTTTGCCTTGAGAGTTTTTTCCTTGAAAATATCTTATCCCCCACATGCTATGTAAAGTAGAAAATGATCTGTTTTGCAAATAGCAAAGTATTAAATAAACCAAATATCAAGCCTCAATTCAAATTGAACCGACTTGTACCCGCACCGAGCGCCCATGGATCATAGTCGATTATATTGTCATTTTGTGGTCGGTATCTATAAAATTACAAAATAATCGATTATACTCTATTAAAACTGGATTATTATCCGACTTTTTATCTCAATATTTACCATTATCAGGAGTTGATGAACGTAGTTCTTTCTCTTATATGGGTCGCGATGATTTCTTTTTTGTTTTTTTTTGTTTTTCAGGAAAAGTCTTAAAATTTGTTCAGGCTAAAAATTATTTTATCGCGGTTTGGTTTTTGATTTAATTTAAATCTCAGTTCAATTTTTTTGTTAAAGGAAGGCAAACAAATTTCATTATCGATCAGCGAAAGTGTGAAAGCCACGAAAGTAGAAATTACTTCTCGAATTTCCCAGCGAAATAAAATCTAAAAAATGAGGTTTTTTCAAAAAAAATGGAGTCCTTTTTTTCTATTTATTTAGTACCGTTCATTGACTCTTTTCCAACTGTCTGTTGGCTATGCTTATTGATTATAATTGATTGTGATGGATGTTTCTGAGAGGTTATCGATGAAATTTCTATTCTATTTTAATTCTTTCATTTTCTGTCTGATGCAGTTGCTACGTATTACGTGTCAGCAAGTTTTACTGTTCACATAAGATTTTATACTTTTAAATAATCTAGTTTTTTTCGTTTACCATTTTATTTAACCATATTTTTACCATCGCCATTGTGAAAATTTGCGAATCGCCCACTTTTACTATGGTATTTGCCCACTACTCTACTCTACACCCCAATCCTCAAGTTCAAGTAGGTGAGAGGGGAATGGTTGAACGGAGGGTATTCAGAACGGGGGATTAAACTGTAAACTGAGAGGGGGGTTTGGTGTTGGTTGTAAACTTTAGTAATTACAGGGATGGCATCGGCAGTACGTAATTGAATTTTTACCTGTTTTTTGTTTATTATAACTGTAAAGGACATGGCACAAAATTTTTTGCAGAAAATTCAAAATTTCAGCAAAAGTAATGAAACTAATTTTAAAAAATTTATTATAAAAGTTTTTTTAATGGGAATAGAATCGAATGAGCGCTCGGAGCGGGTTAGACGAATTGAATCTTCGCCTAGACCTTAATAGCAGGAAAGGGTATTGCGCGTTAATTGTCCAAAAAATGGCCTAATTGGCAATCTTTAAACCCCTGTGTTTTATTGAAAAATCATTACAGGCAAAATATATATATATTTTTAAAATTTGAGCCTACAACAAAAATTTCCATCTGATGGTACAAAAAAAATCCGTCAAGAATGGCTAGTTAAAAAGTCAAATTTTGTCTGGAGAAAAAACGACCCCTAGCACAAAGTTTTTTTTCACTTTCTGCGATAGCTGGAACTGAGGCAAACTATTTTATTTCAAGTGACAACAAACAGGATGAAGTAAGGGGAATTTTTTTTTCAAAGTTTTTAATATTATTCTACTAGGAGGTTAAAGGTTACTTCAAAACTTATTAAAATTTGAAACGAATTTGGTTCTTAATTTAATTTCTGCTCATGGACCAAAATTTTCTCTAAAAGATCTCAGTCTAAAAAAGAGCTATCAAATAAATGAAAAGATATAAATGGTGACCCATCGGAAACAAGGATAACAGGATACTATGAAATTAGAACAGATAGTTCCGACCGCTCTATTTTAAATTGAAACATCAAAAACAGGGAAATAGGGAAAATTTCTCAAAAATTTCCAAAAAAAAACAAAAGTTTATGTATAGAAATATCTTTTAATTTATGTTCACGTTTCAGTAAAATGCGAATTAATTAATTAACAATTATGCAAGAATGAGATATCTTTTTCTATCTAATTTAACATAAAAAAAATTTAAACTAAATTGGGCTCAAATACAGTGTTCAAGTTTCGAATACATCAAGTTCAGTGTCATCACGTTTTTCAATGTCGAGAAAAAATGGCCTGATATTTTCGGTTTCAAACCAACTTGACAGTGAACATGAGCCCACTTTAGCCCTAATTCAATTTTTGACGTTAGTTTAGATATAATTACATCTCATTCTTGCAGTACTTTTACTTAATTAGATCGCCTTTTACTAAAAAAGTGAACAGGAATTGAAAAAAAAAACGTGACATTGAGCATTGAGTGTTTTTTTTCAACGTTTCTTGTCGACTTTGCAGGGGTAACGACTTCGTTTACGACAAAGCTCGTACGCATTCAAATGCAGTATATAAAAACCCTTCAAGTCGTTATCTGGGATAAAAAATTATGAACAATTGTTTCTGTGTCGAAATAAAATGGCCTTATATTTTTGAATTTCAGAGAAATTTTTTTTATTATTTTGCCGATCCAAAATCACGGCTGAAAGGGTTTTAATAGGATAAAGCTCTTAAACCCGTACGAGCTTTGTCGTAAGCAAAATCCTTATCCCTACGAAGCTTACCCTTACAAATTTGTTAAGCACGTTGAAAAAAACACAATAGGCCATATTTTTTTCTCTTCTCACTTCGTGAAGTCGTTTGAACGATAAAAATTCAAATATTTCACTAGTATTACCTCAAACTCTTATCACCTTATTATCATAAAAGCAAGGCTGTGAGGGAAGATATAATTTTCTCGATGGCGCAGGTTTAATTTTGGAAAAAGGGAAGTTTTGTCGAATGTTTTTACGGCAAGCTAATTTTTTTTCCTGAACAGTCCCAAATCACTTACAAAGACCTCTGTTTTGACCTGATTGTAGAGAGGCTGACTTGATGATCAAGATGGACCTGGAGGTGCCTGAGAAGGCGCAGATGCTGCTGAGGAAACAGTACTACTATCTCGATCTGTTCACTCAAGTCGAACACATGCTCACCAGAAATGCGGACTTAAGGTATGCTCATCAGAGTTAACTATTTGAGGACATCGGTAGTTATAACTGAAGTAACTGCAAGTAATAACGGCAGTAATAATTAAAAATATTAAATGAGGTATCAAAGTTATTTGTTATCTAGATAACTGCATTGCTATCTTATCAAAATCAAGAGCCCTGAAATGGTCTGATCTTTAAGCCCAGAGCCGGATCTATTTAAGTATTCCTTCCCGCCCTCTATTTCAGCAGGGGGTTTTGGGAATTCATTACTAGGCACAAACCTCGAATATGTTTAACGGGTTAATAACTCCTTAATAGAGGCGATATTTTATACTAGGTACTAATGGAGAGGATAAAGAGATTCCAGGCACTGGATTCAGTAAGACTTAACAAAATTAAAAAGTTAAAATTAATTGATTTCTTGATTAACTATCGATAATAAAAAATAACAGAAGTCATAGCAGGATCAGAGGCGCCTGAAAACGGGCTGCATAGTTCCACGGCGTTCTCGCAATGAGATTTCATTTGGTTGTAAATGTAGTAACTTTTACAATGAATGGAATCTAATTTGCAAACAATTTATTATTATTATTATTAAAAAGTGCATCTGTTCAGCTTGATTTGGTCTATTTAGCCTACTTTTTGTTGCAGACAGAGAATCCCTCCGATTCTGAGGAACCTGTACGCACCCCACTTGGCGGCAGTGGACAGGGTCATCCAACCTGGATTCATCAAACTCACCTGGACTTCCGTCAACGTCCCAGAGTACCTCAAGAGGGTACATACACAATTAGGTAGATTATAATCATGCTCTATTAAGAATTGATTCGTATCCAGTTTCATGCCCCTATGTAAAATTACTATTTAAATTTTTTTTTAAAATGGTTGACACGACAATTTGCATCAAAATAACGCCGTAAGAATTTGTTCCCTTGTTCATTCGAACGGACACGTTTCATTCTCATGGTTTCAGTTCAGATCAACAAAAGACATTTTAGATATACTTTCATGAATTGAAGCTCAGAATCAATCAAAGCAGGTATCTTTGATCAAATGGAAAGAGAAAGACTGAACTTTGATCGGACATTCAAAACGTTCAGTTCTAGGATCATTACTTTTTCTTTCATATCTCAACGACTGGCCTGTATCTAAGTCGAGACTGAATTATTTGCAGATGACACTAAGAACTTTCCATGCTCACAAAATGAACAGTGACCTCAATTCTGAAATCATTTTGTTTTGCAAAAAATGGGTTGCTAAGAACTGCTTGGTTATCAGCGAGCCAAAATGTCTGGATACATGAATTTTTGCGAAAAAAATGGTCGAATTTGAAACTTTTGAAAAAAATTTAAATTCATTGATAGATGTGGGGTTGGTTATATGATTGACGGATGCTCCCCGCTCAGGAATTCGACCCCCTACCTACCCGAAGAGTCCCCTTTTGTACTATTTGGAGATATCTACTTTTTGCTTATTGTCCCTAAAATTTTTCTAAATGCGCCTTTAGCGCCAAAATATACTAGCTTTGAGGGGGAGCGTGCGTCGAAAAAAACGCGATTTTTTGGTCAAAATTTTGCACAAAGTGCCTAAAAACGCATTTTTGGCCTTTTTTAAAACAAAAATTCGCCTGCGTCGCAGAAAATTTGGTCAAAATAGGGTTTTTATTGTGATTTGGTAGAGCTCAGAAAATCAAATTGGTCGACCTAAAAAAAAAGATCGTCAAAATTTTTGAAAAGTTTTTGAAAATTCTCCCCCCCCTCGAGAAAATCCTGGATCCGCCCTTGACAAGGGCTATTTTTATAAACAACAACAACTTGAATTGGTGCGCGAGATCATGATTCATTCAGATTGACAAATCTGCAGCTTTTTTGTGTGAGATATTATCAACTTCGTTAAAAGATTGTCTTTCAAGGAGTTAAAAGATGGTCTTTCATTAATGGAATAAGTGATATTGAGTTGAAATCGAAACTATTGCTTATATATCTTATACGTGGTAGAGCCAATGTTTTTGTTACCTTTTGCTTGCCGGACTAATTATATGATGAAATCTCTGAAATGTTTACTTTAGATAGCATTTATTTTTTTACAAATTTTTTTGATACCCCCAGAAGTTTGCAAATTAAATGATTGGGAATACCTAATATTTTTAAGTATTGTCTATATTCATTTGTTCTAAACTTTCCATATTTTCTATATTTATAAGTTTTGGTGGCCAATTTTTAATCGATTAGCTGATCAAAAAAGTCTCACTTTTTTGAGTTTGCTTTAATTTTGGCGGCACTTAGCACAGTGGTAAGGCGTTCACTTTGAAATCGTCAGATCTTGTATTCGATCCCAAACCACAGAAATGATAGTGTGAGAGGACAAGCTCTCACTTGACCTCCAGCTTCCGGTCTACCACAACCTGACCAAGTTTGGCTGCAATAGTGGTAACACGTAATAAGATCTAGACGCAAAAAAAACGTCCTTGAGTCGCGGAAAAAAAACAGCTTCGCTCAGCTAAATAACACTGTCTGGAATGTGTGGAGATAATACAAATGGACTATCCTCGACAGGACTGTTAAGGCCTACTGATAGCTCCTCTGCGATTCGCAGGAACTACAATTATTAATTATTATTTTACCACTCAGGTGTCCCGTTTACCGAGAGGTTCTACTCTCGAGCTAGTACCAACGGTCGATGTTAAATGATAAATAGTTTTTTTACAATAAATGAATTCAAACTTTGAACTCCAAACTGAAAAAATTTAGTTTTAAATTGTTGCTCATTTTTTAATTTTCTTTCCTTTTTTTTGAAAAAGTTAATATCCGTCTATCCTTGTTTAAAATGATTTTGAATAATTTTTTTTGCTTCTGTGCTGCTCTAGACAAAGTGGAGTTGCTGCTGACTAGATGCAAGGACATCATAGACCACAGGATAGAGGGAGTGTTGAAGGAGATGATGATGGTGCCTCTAATTGAACTGCCTGGCGAACAGGAGGAGTCCGCCTCCATAGACCAGTTCACCAGCAGGACTATGGTATATGTTTTCTTTTTTTCATTTTTTTCAAAAAAATGAGTCTTCATTTTTCACCTTTTCAAATAACAATCCTATTCGACATAAAAATTCATAAATTACAGACGAAGAAATTATAAGCAAAGTTTAATACTATAATCCGATTAACGTGATACAAACAGTAATATTTACGAATGAAAAAGTGACCCAGAAATTACATAGTTTTAGAAAAATTAAAATATATAGTTTTTCGAATCCTAATGCAGTTGCTTTGTTGCAGCTGTTGTGTGCAAAGGGCACTCACATTCTGCAGACGAAAAGTAAGCTAGCAGAAGACAGTGTGCAGGAGCTGATCAACCTCATCATGAACTACCGTGACCCCAATCTGAACAGTGGGGATGACTCAGACGCGGATGAGGAAAAGGATGATGAACAGTATGATGGTATGTCAAGTTTCGGTTTTCTAATGCAAGAAGCAGAGAAAAAAAAATTTTGAGCAAAACAAAAGCACATGCAGTTTTTACAGTTTTCGAAAAATTATAATGAGAAGCAAAAAGTTGGAACTGACAAATTTTATCAAAAAGAGCAATCTGCCAATTAAGCACAAAATTCGCATGCACACTCCTAAAATTTATTGTGTAAATTTATCCGACAGGTTATTGCGTGATGCAAAAAATCATGTAAAACACACAATTTTTTAGTAAATCGACTGATTTCACACAATAAAAAATAACCGAAAAAGCGTGTGAAAAATCCAATGTTGCAAAAAGCTACTTGATTTTTTTATCATGGGTTTCCATCATACTGATTAGAAGTCATACTTTTTAAACCTTACACATTTAAACCTATCGCTCAAAATTAAATTTTATCACTTTAATATACCTAATATCATTAATCTCATTCGTTGAATTTTAAAGCAACTTTGAAACATAATTTTTGTCTGAGAACAGGGGCGGATCTAAGATGGCGGATCTAACAGGGGAGGATCTAAGAAAACAGGTCGCGCTCCCCCTTAAATTTAGTGTATAGCTGCGCCACAGGCGCCTTTAGAAAAGTTATAGGATCCGTCAGCCAAAAATCTTAAAAAGTACCAAAGATGCCGGTCAGCCAAAAATGGAAATCTTAAAAAGTAACTTTGAGTCGGCAGGGTCGAATCTCTGAAGGGGCGAGCATCTAACAGGATCTAACAGGGGAGGATCTAAGAAAACAGGTCGCGCTCCCCCTTAAATTTAGTGTATAGCTGCGCCACAGGCGCCTTTAGAAAAGTTATAGGATCCGTCAGCCAAAAATCTTAAAAAGTACCAAAGATGCCGGTCAGCCAAAAATGGAAATCTTAAAAAGTAACTTTGAGTCGGCAGGGTCGAATCTCTGAAGGGGCGAGCAACAGGGGCGGATCTAAGATGGCGGATCTAACAGGGGAGGATCTAAGAAAACAGGTCGCGCTCCCCCTTAAATTTAGTGTATAGCTGCGCCACAGGCGCCTTTAGAAAAGTTATAGGATCCGTCAGCCAAAAATCTTAAAAAGTACCAAAGATGCCGGTCAGCCAAAAATGGAAATCTTAAAAAGTAACTTTGAGTCGGCAGGGTCGAATCTCTGAAGGGGCGAGCATCAACCCCCCCCCCCCCCCCCCCCCCCCCAGTCCGTCCCTGTCTTTTCATTTGTGTGAGGAATTAACAGAGTTGTAGCAGTGAAATGATTTAAAAAATTCCAGATAAAATGCATTTCTGACTTAATATAACTTTTGATAGAAATTATTGTTCGTCAAAAACTGATCCTCAATTTCGATTTCTCCAGTATATTTTATCAAGTATAGAACATAGCCAGTAGAGAATTAGAAAAGGGTCATGAACACAAGGAAATGAAAAAACTGACCCATCAACCTCATGACAGGTTCCAATCAAAAATAAAAAGAACTTAATAATATCGTTAGATTGCATTTGTTTCAAACTGTTTAAGAGCCGATGAACGTAGTTCAGACTCTTATATAACTCGCGATGATTTTTTCAAAAAAAAAGTTTCAGGAATAGTCATGAAATTTGTTGAGGTTCAATTTTAATTTTTCGCTGTTTGACTTTTGATTTTTTTTTGAGTTCAGTTCATTTTCTTAGTCAAAAGGCAAATTTGACTGTCTTTTACTCAAAATGTAAAGGTCACAAAAAAGGTGATCAAACTTCTAATTTCCAAAATGGAGTTTGAGTTTCAGATTTCCCAGCAAAATAAAAATTTGACTTATTGATCGAGTTTTCTCACATTGGGTTAATTTTACCAAGAAATTCAAAGAGCTTTAAGGGCATTATTTTTTTTGAAAGTTGAGAGTTAGATTTTTTCAAAGAACAAGTCAGTATTTTTTTGTTTACTTCCGTTAATTGACTCTTTTTTAACTTTCTGTTGACTATGTTAATGCTTAGGAAAATGGAAACTAACAAACTGCAATCAAAAAGAGATGCGCTAATTTTGACCCAGAAGTAATAGGATCAAACTTGTTCTACGAACAACAATAAGATAAGGCTGTTTAAAAGCGACCTTTTTATAAGCGGTGAATCTTTGCTCAGAGGCGTCACAATGACGGTCAGTTGCCTTTTGACGACAACAAAATTTTGTTTGTACTGAACAGGAACTTGGAAACTAATATATTTATTATGGACTAACACCAATAGCGCGAGCTATTTTGAAACTAAGCCAAAGTGGTTGAAAAAACCAAAAAATCTTAAAAAAATCCAAAACATATTCTCTCAACCTTTTAAATTATCTATTAAAGATTTTCAAATTTTCCTCTCATTTGTTTGTTTAGCAAGAAAAAATTGAAATTAATAGCCATAAATTTTTGATAAAAATTTGTTTAGAATAAATTTAGGGCCGGTCAGCTAAAAATTTGTGTCATAAAATAAAACCAGAGGGGGACATGCATGAATTACAGTTTTGCTCCGGAAAACTATCATTTCTTAGCGTAAAATATCCTCTGAGGTACGGCCGCTTGGTTACTGTTTAATGACCACGAGGTAATTACCTTCGGTAGTGAGCAGGAATATCGCTAGCTCATGCCGCGCAATTTTGGGAAACAATTGCCTTGAGCGTAATCGGTCTCATTATTTTTTTTGAAAACATTTTAAGCCGGAACGCTGTTGTCATTATTGTATACTCAATTGACACTTTAAGCCATACTTTCTTTCTCATTGTCACTATGCCAGGGTATCCGCCCTTTACTGCGCCTTCGGCTTTCGGAAGACAACACGAGAGAGATGACTCGGGTCTACCGGCGACTCCCATTGCTCCTTACACCAGCAAATCCCTTGACTACAAATCAGAAAAACCGCCTATTGTTCACTCTTTTTGGAGTACGCGGACTAAGTTTTATGTCTATTAAACTCATCAAGATCTACTTTAGATGGCTGCTAGAATTAGATAAACACATGTTTTAGATGGCTGTTAAGATTAGATTGACGCATGTTTTTATTGAATGTTAACAATTGATAGTTTTATTTAGTTTGAAAGACTCGACAAAATTCAGTCTAGTGGCTTCTCAACAAATAGAAATCTTTGACAAAACTTTCTGAACTTTATCATATTTCACAAATTACAACTGTTTATTGTGTCGTGTTGAAAAAAAATTTTGAATGTCTTAGTATGTCTTGGAAAATATTAACTCAAAAAATCACACCCCTCATAAACACTTCAATTTTGTTTTGACAGACGATTTCGAGGGCGAAGACGAACTGCAACGGAGTCGTGGTTCAATTAAAAAGGGATCCAACTCGGCCACTCCTGTCCAGAGGAAGAAATCCTCTGCAGTGTCTGGCAAGATGCCGCCGGAACAGCAGGCCTTCTCCAAGAATGTGCAGAGCAAACTGGCCAAGAAGAAGAAGGAATACCAACAGCAGTTGGAGGACGAAGCCTTGGAGTTGATCACTCAGTTCGAACACAAGTTAGTATTTGACAATAAGGTCTTGTTTGGCTCCTTGTTTTAATGAATTTGTGCATTCAATTGAAGCACCTGAGAAAGACGTTGTTGAAAAAAAATGGTGTAAGAGTATCAAGAGGCGTCCGTCCATTATACTGTTCATTAGAATGTCAACAAACTAGATAGGACTTAATTAATATCCTTATTTTTTGGAATTGTTATTTCTTGACTTTTTGTGATATAATTGGTCCCGCGAGTTCGATTAAAAAATGCATAAAAGCTGAAACTAATAAATTTTTACCGTTTAGACACGTGGAAGCTCTGGTAAAACTGATCAAAATATCCCTGGACCAGATCAAGAAACGCCTGACATCTGGCGTCTCGGCCACCTACACATTACACGCACCATCCAGCATGTCATCTTCAGGATTCGCAGGCCATGCAGGATCCCACGGGGGTCAGCAGCCTTTCTTCAGGAGTGACGTGGTGCTGCAGATCCCGAGCATCATGATGATGCCGACGTTAGAGGACGTCCAGAGCAGTGTGAACAGTTCAGTGCAGACTATTCTGAGCGTGTGCAAGGGAGTGCCACAGTGGTCCAAGTCCAGAAAAACGGTAACAGATTCCAGAACTAAAGCACAAAGTCTTTATAAGAAAACACTTTTCCAACTTTTAAGGGTTTTCTGTCTGTTCCTGGACGTACAACAGGAGTTTTCAAAATCACTTTTGCAGTTGAAACTCAGTTGATCTGTTAAATGAATCAGAAAAGATCAAAGGTTGATTTTTTTTGAATGGCCAGTTTTTTCCAGCCAAAACAACAGGAACAAGAACGGATCGCCACTGCAGCTGCTAAATCTAGTGCCGACCATGGAGACGCAGGAATCGACGAAGAAGTGTCCTCCAAACTTGCCACAGGGAAGCTGTCCCGCCGAAACAGCACAACCAGTGTACATAGTCACGCGAGTGGGGAAAATATGAGTGTGGCTAACTCATGGATATTCAATAAGACTATTGATGTCGGAGGTATGTAAAGGGAAGGGACTATTCTCGCGGCAGAATGCGCAAAAATTCTCAACGGATCACCGTTCTGTAAACTGTCCAAAACTGACTAAAATTCACTATAAATTCTTTGCAATTTCAAGTCCCGAATTCCGATTGGCTATCAAAAAGATTCAAAACAGCATGCAGTTGCTTCAATTCTGATTGTCCGTTCTAAAAAAGAAGCGTAATGTATCATGTAATCTGGGAGCATGGTTAAGTGGTTCGTATACTGGCCCTTGTGGACAAATCATCTTAAGAGATTCCGAGTTTTGTTTGCAGGAGAGCAGATTCAGATCCAGCAGGCGCCCAAAAACTACTTCAGGAATGTGGCCGAGATGAATAAAGACGTGGTCAAACTGGTGTCTCATTTGCAGACTGCTGTCAGCAGCAACAAGAAAGTTCGAACTTTTCACCTGAGCTTCACGACACATTAATCAAATTTGAGTTTTAGATAGTCCCAAAAACCTGGCAATGAAATTCGCTCGACACATTTGATCAAAAAATTCATTTCTGAAGACCCAATTTTAAAAAATTCTGCTCATGAAAAAAAAAATGAAAATCTCTTTCATGCGTTTTGAGGCACATATGAGATTTTCAAAAGAATCTGTTTTTCAAAATTCAAGTAGAAAAAAATCGAAATCAAGACCTTTTTGAGTGTCAAATAACATGTTCTGCAGGAGGTGCAGGGAGCTCTGGAGGCGTTCCATGAGTTCAAGAATTTGTGGGAAGTGGACAGGACTGAGGAGTTGGAGAGATTCGTGCAACAGGAACCCAGTCTGCAGGACTTCAACCTGGAGATCATCAAGTACAGGAATCTAGAGGAGAATGTGAACGACATCCCACACTCGGTCCCAGCCGGACCCATCAACCTCATGACAGGTGCCAATCAAAAATAAAAAGAACTTAATAATATTGTTAGAATGCATTTATTTCAAACTGTTTAAGAGTCGATGAGCGTTGTTCAGACTCTTATATAGGTCGCAATTATTTATTTTTTTTTTCGTTTTTTTTTTCAGTAAAAGTCTTAAATTTGTTCAGGCTCAAATCAACTTTTTCGCGGTTTGAGATTCGATTTCTTAAGTTCAATTCATTTTTTTTATTTAAAAAGCAATCAAACTCCACAATCGAACACCGAAAGCGTTAAGGTCACGAAAAACGTGATCGACATCTAGTTTCGAAATTGGAATTTAATTATTGATTTTCCCAGCAAAAGAAAAATTTAATCAACGAGTTGGGTTAATTTAATCAAAAAACTGTCTATCATTTATTATTCTAGAAAATCAAAGAGCTTTAAGAGCATTTATTTATTTCTTTAAAGTTCGAAAGTTGAGCTTTTTCAAAAAATGAGTCGTTAATTTTTTTCTGTTTACTTGCGTTCATTGACTCTTTTCTAACTGTCGGTTGGCTATGTTCTATTTTCTCCCTTGCATTCATTTTGATCTTAGAACTAAAAGCTCTTTTCATGGCACGGGTGGAACTAAGATTTTCTCGAGGGGGGGGATGATTTTCAAAAATATTTCAAAATTTTGCCGACCTTTATTTTTCGGTCGACCAAATTGATTTTCTGAGCTCTCCCAAATCACTATAAGGACCCAGCTGTTTCGAAAAATTTTCTCCGCCGCAGGCAAACTTAAGGCACTTTTTAGAAAATTTTGCAAAAAAAAAAAAATAGCGTGTTTTCGGCGCGAGCTCCCCCTCAAATTTAGTATGTATTGGCCCCGAGGCGCCTTAAAATTTTTTTAGGGCCAGTCAGCCAAAAATGGAGATCTCAAATTAGAATAAAAGGGGTACCCTTTGCGTCGTCAGGGGGTCAAATCCCCCAAATCCGCTACTGTTTCAGGGTACGACTGATACAATTTTTTTCACTTCGTCGAAAAAATTATCAGCTTGAAGGCAAACTTAGGTGGCATTTCATAGTTACAGCCAAAATTCTTTCATAGTTGAGTCTCTAAATCGAATCAATTAAACCTTTTATGTTTCTCCAGAAAAATTGAAGCTGGCCATCAAGGTCGAAAACAAAAAGTGGATCGACGAACTGGCTCACCACTGCAACGTGCAGTTCCGAAAAGAGATGGACTCGATTGTGGCCTTCATCGAAGACCAGAACAAGAAACTGGGCAGGGAGATCAAGGATCTGGACGATATCCGGTTCGCCATGGACTCCTTGAGAGACATACGGGAGAATGAGATCCGAATTGACATGATGATCACGCCTGTGGAGGTCAGTAAAATAATGTTTACTTGTTAGGTTTAAAATAAAGAATAGTTTTGATTGTCGTTCAAAATTTGATCAAACAGATTTTTCTATGCGCTATGTGAACATTTATTTAGCTTGACTCTTCAAATTTTTAGTAGAAAAAAATTAAGGCTTGGTAAAAAATATATTTTCAAAGATCATAAAATCGACAAAAAGGCAACATTTTACGAGCTGCATACACATTAGTGTTTTTCATTTAAAAAGTGCGTGGAATGTTTTATTCAGGAATGCTACGCGATGTTGCAACGCTACGAGATCCCAGTGGCTAAGGAAGAGTTAGATCGAACGGACTCTCTGAACTTCTCGTGGAAGACACTGCGAGAGAAGGCGTTCCAGATGCAGTGCCACTTGACAGAGATACAGCCCAACTTCAAGGCAAGTCTAGATCACATATTATGCCCTGTTTCTGATAGTTATAATAACTTGTGTAATTAGTCCGACGACTGAAAGTGGGTTAGATGACATTTGGTGATTTAAGCCATAAAAACTTATGCCGAGTAGTAGGTATCTGATATGCAGACATGATCAAAAGATTTCTGTTGGTTGACAAAAGAGCAGATTTGGGAACAATGATTCAGTGATTCCGTCGAACATGTTGTTTACATGAAAAAATGTGTTCCAAATTGATAAAGCTTATTAATCGTGGGCATAATAATCGCACGCGTAATAATTTTGCGAAATTAAAAAAAAAATTTGAAAAGTTTATATTTAATTTTTTTTTCAAAAACAATAATACTTAAATTCCTCAAAAAAATATTGGAACTCAATTAGCTCAACCAATGGTGCTTTAGAAATGATATTCAAAATTTTGAAGAAAACCTTGAAAAAAAATCCGGGCGACGGAAACTAAGCTGACAAAAATAAAAAGACAGACGTTCATCCGAAAAAGCACAACATTCTAGTTAGCAAAATATAGGTCTCGGCCGGATCTGAACTGCAAACTTTTTTCGTTTTAAGCAAGTGTGTTACCTCTACGCTGGATGCGCTGAATATTTGACCGTATTTGAGTTTATTACAGAGGAAGTTAGTAGACGTGTAACATTTTCACGATCGAAATCTTTTTACCCAAGTTGTTTACGGGAACGAAATCCCGTATCCAGTAGCAACAACATTTCTAATCACAAGACTTAGAAATAACTGTCAATAAGAATTTTTAAAAAAGTTTCTTTTGTTTTGTTTTGGTTTTCATTTGCCCAAGGCAAATGTATTCGTTTATGATTACCTAAATTTATCTTATCTAAATTTCTATGCTTTCGTTTTTCCTCTCATCATACTACTGAAAAACACGACACAAATTCGAAAAAGGAAAAACACTCTTAGTTGTTTTTGAATGAGTTGGAACTTTCTGTGCTAATTGCACATCAACCGGCTATACTTGTTTTATTTAATTCAATTATTCGATACAGTGAAGAAATACATACGTAATCACTCACTGCATCAGGATAGCTAGAACAGGCTTTTCAACCTAACAAGTAGCTGCCCTCCGGGATAACTATCACAATTAAGTAACGACAACGGGTAAACAAATCAGAAAAAGTTGTCGACCAGCTGTACATTGTCTAAAATGTAATTTCTTTTGAAAACCTTTAAAAATTTTGACAGCTGTTCTTGAGAGTACGTTTCGATTTTATCGGGTAGGAGTTTATTTGACATCAAAAAATTGAAACATTTAACGATTTTGCATGAAAGGGAGTTTTCCATAGTTTTTGTCCTACAGCGATAAAACGGAATCATTCCGTTAGAAGTAGAACGTGTATTTCGTTTATTACTATAATTACTGACGTTTAGAAAATCAAGAGGTGAACGTTTTAAATATTGAAAAATGGTTTCTTTAAAAAGTTGAGTTAAATAAATTTCATGAACTGTATCAATGCCCAGATCATTAAACTTTGTTGTTATGTGATCGTATTTGCGTTTGAAGAATATAGTACGGAGAATTCTTTTCTGGCAGATATAAATTTTTTCTAAATTTGTTTTGCTAGTACTCCCATAAACAAGCAGACCATATGAAATTATAGGTACCACATATGCCAGGTAGAACTTTAACAGCATTTTGCGAGAAAAAGCTACCCTGCCCTTATACATAATTCCGTTAAATCGGCCTAGTTTTCTGCACACAGTTTCAACATGGTCTGTAAATTTGAGTTGACTATCAATGATAACACCCAAGTATTTGAAACTATTTGTAAATCCTATGTTTTCACCCGCAAGTGAAAAGTCATTATCCAAACATTGTTTACCAAATGGTAAGATTTTACATTTTGTAGAGCTTATCGACAATTTATTTCGCACACACCAGTCATCTGTTTTCAGCAAATCATTTTTAAAGTAATCATTTACCCTTGTTGTTGGGAAAGAAGCAAGAATAGCAGTGTCGTCCGCAAAAAGATTTAATTCCGATTTTGAAACAATTTTATTTATGTCGTTAATGTAAAGTAAGAAAAAAAGGGGTCCAAGAACAGAGCCCTGCGGAACTCCGTACGATATTACCTGTTGCCTAGAAGTACCGTTCGAATTAACAACAAATTGTTGTCTGTTTGTCAAATAACTTAATATCAATTTGTTGAATTTTCCTCTAAAACCGTACGCGCATAATTTTTCCAGAAGAATGCAATGGTTAACTGTATCAAATGCTTTTCTCAGATCAATAAAAAGTGCCAAGCCCATATTTTTTGTCTCAATCGTTTTTCGCATGAATTCAGTAACTCGTAGGACAGCATGGATACAAGAATGTTTTTCGCGGAAACCAAACTGTTCCGGTATTATAATATTGTTTTTGTTAATGAAAACTAGCATTCTTTTATAAATTATTTTTTCAAAAATTTTGCTAAAAACTGTCAAAAGACTAATAGGTCGATAATTACTGGGATTTTCTTTTTCTCCTTCTTTCAGAAAAGCGACAATTTTTGCAATTTTACAAGCATCTGGAAAATATGCTGTATCAAAACATTTATTAAAAACGTTTGCCAGGAAAACAGATATGACTGGTGAACATAATTTAATCATTTTAGTTGAAAGACCATCATGACCACTTGAAGTTTTAGTTTTTAAGGCCCCTATTACCTTAAACACTTCATGTTCATCCGTTTTAAAAATTACAAAACTTGATATGTTTCTGTCTAAGTTTTGAGAAGCAGAACCAACAAGTGGCAGAGAATTGCTCAGGTGCTTACCAATATTGACGAAGAAATCATTAAGTAAGTTTGGTTCAATCTCTTTTTGGGCTGGTTTTCGTTTTCCACAAAAACGATTAAAAGCTTGAAACATTTGTTTTGATGATGTACATTTTTCAATTTTCTTATCATGATAGTCTCTTTGAGCACGCCTAATTGCCATTTTTACCTTATTTCTAAACATTCGGAAGCAATTAATTTTCTCTAGTGAAGATTTCTTAATCATTTTGGCATGAAGACGATCTCTCTTTTTACACATTTTTTTGATATCATTGGTGATCCAGTCTTTGTGTTTTTTCCTTAGTAATGTTTGTTGGGGGCAAAAACGGTCAAAAACATCCAGACACATTTTTGTTAAATCGGTCAACATGTCATCAAGTGTTGCCATATTGCAATTATTGAGATTTTGATGCAAAACAAACAAGAATTTCAAAATATTTTCATTTCTGTTCAAGATTTTCAAGTTTCGACCTATCTTAGAATTGTCACTATCATCCAAAAAAGGTCCAATAGAGGCAACTAGCGCATAATGATCACTTAGAGAAGTTTTTAAAGTAGTTACGCTCATATCATATTTACTGATGATATGATCAATACAGGTAGAACTAGATGCGGTTTCTCTTGTTGCTTCACTATTTGATATGAAGAATCCAAAAAAACTAAGTATCAATTTATATTCATCAATTAATCGAGAATTGCGCGACACGTCCAGAATATCTAAATTCATATCTCCCACAATGATTGAGTTCTGACATTGTTTTGAATTCAAATTCACGAGTAAATCCTCAAATTGCGTTAAGAAATGCTTTGAATTGATTGATGGCGGTCGATACATCAAACAAACGTTTAGTTTCTGTTTACTTCCTAGAGTTAAAGTTAAGACAACATTTTCTAGTTCATTCGATAAAATTTCGTGCGAAAAGTCAATTTGATCTTTTATGAAAAATGCTAAACCCCCACCCCTACTTTTTTGACGGTTAACAAAAACTCCTTCTTGGTAGCCGTCCAAGTTATAAAGTTCCAAGGGATCATTGTCACTTAACCAAGTTTCGCATAAGGCAACGACATATGGTTGCATTTTAGTGAAGCAACAAGAACTTTTAATTGGTCATGATGGTTGCGCAGTGATTGAATGTTTAAGAAAAGTATGTCCCCGTCGTTACCCATTAGAAATCCCTTTAAAATCAAAAATAAAGCTTTAACACAGGAAAAAAGAGATATTTTTCTGATGTTCAGAAACTCTTTTTAATTTTCAGGTTGATCTTTTTCTTCGCTGCTGCCCATATTATCATCGCTAACAACATCACCACTGGTAGTCATTTTCTTAGGAGGTGGAGAATGGCTTTCAATGAGTTTTTCCACCAAACAGCATAGTTTATCAAGTTTCCGCTCTTGTATATCATTTTGCGATTCATGACTATCCGGTGATCTAAAAGCAACGTTCCTTTTCCTTTTCCCCGGAGTTCCCAAAAAAGAATAAGATTTTGGATATTGAACATCGTCGGAATCAGTAGCATTTTGAATAACATCCGTATATTTTTCATTGTCAGTAGTTACTGAGATATCATTTCCCATATAAATATCGACATCCTTCTTGTTATCAATTGGTTGCCATCTGCCATATGAATTGTACTTTTTAATCTGGACTTGATTCTTACGAGTAGATGCTAGTAGATTTTTGTCCCGTCTGCAGTAGTTCATAATTTCCCTATCTTTTTCTGCCAATCGTTCGTTTACATGAATTTTATTTCCAGTTAAATCATCCCAAAAATCGAATCTCTTATTCCATACAGCATCTCGCTGGTGATTATACAAAAACTTGACAATAATCGGACGATTTCGACCTTTACCTGGTAAATAATGACACGCGACGATGTCCTGGGGCTGAATTGAAATATTTACTGACCTTAGTATCTTCACAATTGAATGGACAGGGTACTCACCACCATCCGACACACCATGAAATGTTAAACACATAAATGAGGAATACCTTTCCACTTTCGTAACTCTTTTTTCCAACTCATGATTGTCGTAAAGAAGCCTGTCATTCTCACCCCGTAATTCTATAATTTCATTCTGTTGGGAATCGATCTGTTTTATTAATTGCTCAAGAAGTAATCTAACAGAGTCTCCATTATTCAAATCCGTCAAAGAAAGTTTTTGCAGTAAGGCCATATTGAATTGTTGAAAGCGAACGTATTTTAAACGAAGATTTTATGCAGCAAACGTAAAAAGAACAACGCGACTGTTTCTTAGCTCATTTTTCTTGTCTCTACGTTTGTGTTCCTTTACTAGGGCAATCTGCAAGACCGAGTACAGGAGTTTGCGGTAGAGACGGATCAGTTCTACGGGGACTACGAGCAGAAAGGACCCCTCAGTCCCGACAAGATGACAGACCCCAGGGAGGCAGCAACAGCCATGCACATATTCCAGGTCAGCTTAAAAAACCATCACAGTGACAGTTATTTTAGTCAATTTAATTTTTGAAAAAAGCTCATGTATTTTAGTTCATTTTGCTCAAAATAAAATTTGTGGAATTCATCAAAAAATCAGAAAAATTGCTAATATAGTTAACCTAGATGAACTTCTGGATTTAAAAAATCTTTTCCAGAACCGATTCGACGCACTGAAGCGATCGTACGAGACATACCACAGAGGCGAACAGCTATTCGGCCTACCCCAGACTGAATTCCCCAGACTAATGGCGATAGAGAAAGAACTGAAGCTGCTCAGTCGTCTCTACACCCTCTACGAGAGTGTAATGGATTGCATCGATAAATACAAGGAGAAACTCTGGGCTGATTTGAATGTGGAGGAGTTCGGAGCGGAACTGACTGAGTTCCAAAACAGGTACGCTGCTTTTTTAGCCAGAAGGATACGGGTTCAGAACTCAGCACCGTCACATTTTTTACTGGCCTAAATTCTGCACCTGCAGAAAATTGTTGGCAAAACAAAGCGCAATTTTGTCATGTATTAGATGTGAACTTTTGATAAGTTTCAAAACATTTTCGCAAAAAGCATATAAAAAACTTATTCGATATCGTTAATAACAGATGAACATAAATTTCCGAGTCGATGAATGTAGTTCAGACTCTTATATAGGTCGTGATTATTTTTTTGTTTCAGGAAAGGTCTTAAAATGCTCTAATAACTACAGAAAGTGCATTCATTTATATTAACGCATTTATGAATGCCCTTAGGTATATGTGCATTTTTAGAGTTCTAGAGTTCAATTCAAATTCATTTGCTAAAAGGCAGGCAAAATTTGCTCTCAATACGAAAGAGGAATTGGTGCAAAAAAACGTGATCGATTTTCAGTTCTGATTTAAAATATCCGGACAACAAAAGCAACATTGAAAGCTACAAATGCGTTTTTATCGAATTTGTTTTAGAGTAGACAAGAAAGAAGAGCACAGAAGCTGCTTGAACTTTTACCAGAATTAATATGGTGCATTTTTTTGCAAATTTCGTAACCAAAATTTTACACCAAAAATGGTTCACTTCAGCTGTTAAGTTAATCAAAAATTACACTGAAACTACCCAGTCAATTGATAATAAAATTATATCAAAAAGAGCCTCTTACACAGCCCAACAAAGTTCTAGGAAATTAAAATCTCCAAAAACCTGTATGGAGACAATATTTTTCATGATCGCCAAAAAATGTGATTTTTACTATATAAAACCAAAATATTTGCCGACAAACAAACTTCAAACGTTTTGCGCAAACTTTTGGAATTTTATTATTCTAAGACTTTGTTAAACTGTCTAAGAGGATTTTTCGATTTAAATTTTTTTATTAATTTAACTTGGTAGTTTCGGCGTAATTTTTGATTAACTTAAAAAAGTCGAAATGACCCATTTTTGGTGTAAGAATTTGGCTCCGAAATTAGCAAAATAAATTACACCATATAATTCCGGTAAAACTCTAAACAACTTCCGCTCTCTCTTCATTTTTGCCTAATCGTAACCCAATCTGATAAAAGCGCGTTTGAACTTTCTAATTTTGTTCATTTTGTCTGAATGATATATCAGCACTGTACTATCGAAGTGGAATTTAATTTTAAGATTTCTCAGCGGAATAAAAAACTTATCTAACATTCCAATATTCTCAAATTGAGTTAATTTTATCCAAAAAAAAAACATTCATAAATTTTTCTCAAAATTCAAAGACCTTTATATTTTTTTCATTGAAAATCATTCACTCATTTCCAGCTGTCTGTTGGCTATGTTTTTATCATGCCTTGAATAAACCGGGTTGCAACCTATTTGAAACATTCAGGTGTCGCAAACTTCCTAAGGGTCTCAAAGACTACGCGGCATTTGACGAGTTGAAGCGGAAACTAGACGAATTTTCCGAACTGGTTCCCCTGTTGGAACAGATGGCGAACAAGGCCATGCAGAGACGTCATTGGGACAGGATCTCCCAACTGGTGGGAAGGGAGCTGGATTACGAGAGCGACCAGTTCAGCATGAAGAGCATCCTCGAGTGCGATCTCTACAAGCACAGAGAAGATATTGAGGTTCGTTTTTCAGAGCAAATAATTCTGTATTTGTATTCTATTCCCACTACGAATTCAATTGTTAGAAAAAACTTTGGAATATACAGTACGCACTGTCACAGAAGCAAAAACACTTAGAATATAAGCATTCATGTAACCTCTTTTCGACTTAAAACTAGTTGAATTGTTTTTTTTACAATCTTTTTTATAGCTATGGTAACACTGTCCCCCACAAAGGTTTGTTGTTCCTACCATAAAATTGGGAGAAACTTAGAATTCGGATTTTGCTTGATTCTGGTTGCCACAAAACTGCAATATGCCTCATCAAGCGCTTCGAAGTTCCCTGGACGTTTCACCAAAAGTTTCATGAACTGTTTACCTTCATCGAGTTTTATATAATCAATTTTCTCATGGTAGAAGAAATTTTTGAAATACTTATACAGAGAAGAAGCAGAATTAGTTATACTCAGAGGCGAAGCAAAAATAGTTATACTTAGAGGCGAAGCAGAAATAGTTATACTCAGAGGCGAAGCAAAAATAGTTATACTTACAGGCGAAGCAGAAATAGTTAGAGACAGAGGCGAAGCAGAGCTTTGCACCACTTGCGATACATCTTAACCATAACATCGCCACAAAATATTAGCCGGAAGTAACAAAGTCGGAAAAAGGGAAAAAATGAACAGCTACATCTACAAAATTTTACTAACACGATTTGTTTCGAATGAAAAACAATTTTGAAGATATATATCGAGGACAATTGTCGTCCTTAACTAAGCACTAGAACAAAATTATCACTCGAAACTTTGTTTAATGAATTTTAGTTCTAATGAAGTTATAGGGTAAAAAAAGGTTTGTTCGGCTTGAAGCTTTTCGGCTATGTTATATCGGCTTACAAACAGGTACTTAAAATGGAACAATGCTTAAAAATATTTAAAATGCAAACATGCTTAAAAAACTTCTATCGCAATTAACTTTCAACAGAGGCCTATAGGAGATGAATACTGTGAAAAAAGTTGTTAGCGGGATAAGTTTACGGCATATTTGCAATACATTTGCTCTAGCAAATGTGAGCATAAGTTTTTTTCGTGTGGTTTAGTTTTAAATGGCTTTTTCGGATGACTTTGTGTTTTTTTTTTTCAGACGAATCGGCGTTAAAATTTTGCAACATAACTAGATAAATGATCTGCTAGTAACTTCACCTATATTATATACTTTTTCGTTTTCAAAGTAGACGACATCATAAAAATAGTAATGACAACAGCTACAGTCTCAGTTGTAAAAAAAATGAAAAAAAAAATCTATTTTCTGATCACTTACTTGTATAAAAACTAGAGGCAGTTTCTAAAAGTATGATAACAGCAAAACACTACAAATGATATAGGAAACGCAAAAGGTAAAACTTCAAGCACCAGTTTGAGCAACAGAAAATTCGAGGCAGAAATTAGTTTCAAAATTACATTTTGAGATTTTTAAGAAACAAAAGAACCCAATAGCTCTTTTTCCTCCCCCCCCCCCCCCCCGGGGAATTTAAAAGTAGTTTTTTTTGTTCACATTTTCCGATTGTTACAAAATTTACCATGCGGACTAATTATGACATGACAAACATATACTTGACCCAGGGTTACACCATAAAATCTATGCTGATGTGAGGTGGGGGGAAAGGAAAAAGAGCCGAACCAATAAAAATAATTTTCACGTCAAAAGTAACAAAATTAGGCAAAATAGAGTAACATTTGAGGTCAAAGATCAAATATTTCATCGAAAAATGCAAAAAGTTCTTTGTCGTCTCTTATAATGTTTATATCTGGAAATTGACTTTTCAATTCTAGTTTTGTCTCTGGTTTCTGAGCTTGGGTTATTTTCACTACAATTTCACCCGGAAAATTATTTTTGTCTCCTTGTAGATTCGAAATCAAAGTCGCTAATTTCGCATTAGCTGAGGGCGACCAACTTAGAATTAGAAGCATTCGGTGATATTCTTTCTCGTTTGTCGTGTTCAAAATCTTCTCGTCGTATTTTTTCACGACTACACATTGACTCGTCTCTTCTCGTTTCAATTTCAACTCGACTGGCATGTATTTCCGAGTAAGAGGCGACTGGAAAAGTTCGACTGTTCGAGTTAAAGTTCTCTGAACTTCGAACCCCTTCACACTGAAATATTTCTGAAGGTCGTCTTTTAGTAGAGTGTAACAGTCTCCATGTAATAATATCAAGTACTCAGACGAATCAAACATGTTCAGAACACTTCAACTATTTTTGAGTCAATTAGAAATACCTAATACTTTGTATGATTTCAGACAAATAATTAATGTACAAACGAATAATAAATCCTCGTTGTAAGGGAAAGCTCCTTTAATCAAAATTTGGATTTTTTTGTACCTTTTCCACAAAACTGATTGACACAAAGTAACTTCAATTGATGAGCTTCGACTTTTAGTCGGCCAGTTTAAGACCTCAGATTGAACAGGTCAGAATTTGTTCAATCTAAGCTCACGACTAATTAAATAGAAGATACTTTAGTTTTTCCGAACTGACTGCACCTAAGTAATCAAGTTTGCAGTAAAAGAAGTTGTCAGAGCAAGCTAAAGCTAAGGCAAAATTCTATATTTATAAAGATGGTATGTTTTCACTCAAATTTGAAGAACTGACTTCAAACGTCAACCCAAACTCATAAATCAACAGGAGACTGTAACAGTATTTACATAAACCTCTTCTGAAATTGCGATGAGACCATTGCAAGCTGAAATCGAGGTCGATTACATAAAATGAAGTGAGATTAATAGGCACATGTAACCAAAATAACCGAAGAGCATCAAATAATTAGATCAACCAAGTAGATAGAATAGATAACTAGGTATAAAGGCGAGTCAGTGAAATCAGCCTGATACAAATCTTTAAAGGGTAATTGTTGTGACCAATTTTTGTCTCAAATATATCAAGTCTTAAACAATGAAATCAGACCGCTATGAATGTATGGACATTGGACGGAAGAAGAAAATTATGAAAGACGTCTGGATGATAATTTTAGTTTTTTTTAGATGATGCAAATATTTTGCATAACTGTTGTGTTATAATTAGGTGAAACGTGATCAAATGGAGATGCAATAAGTTCGGCATGTGAAATAATCTGCTGTTAGGGTGCCATGGCGTGACCTGAAAAACAAAACTTGGGGTTAAAACCAAATTTACTCAGTCTGAGAAATGCCATTAAACGTGTAATCATTACATCTACGTGATTTTATAGATCTGATTTGCAAAGATCAATTTGATCAAAGTTCTTATTCTGTGGGTTTAGTGGAAACTACACGGGAAGTTCAAAGTTTGATGAGCAAATTTAAGACCAGGATGAAATATTTCGTAACTAGTTTGGGGGCGTTGCAAAAATGCAAACATCTTATAAAATAACAATCTAGATAAAATAACTTTAATGAATCACAAAGTTATATGAAAAAATTCCTACCCTCTTTAGCAGAAAAGGGTGTTCGGTGCAAGGTTCGAAATTCGTTTGTGCTTAACAGTTAGATTAGCTAATCGTAGGAAAGAAAATTCGTTACTAGGGGCCATAGAGAGGGGATCATTAACGAGCTCACGGTCACTCGATTAATATTTTTCGGAATACATTTATTTTTACCATTATAGAAATCAATTGAGAAGGTCGGAAAAATAGCAGAGTAAAGACTTCTGTGTTTATTAAATGTAACTTAAATTTGGAAAAATGGGAAGATTGCGAGAACCAATTTGATTCTAGTTCTTAACTATTAGATAGTTTGAACTGACAGTCGTACCACAAATTGGAGACAACAAGTTTCCCGGGACAACAGTTGGCTTCTTACCATATAAGTATATTAAATCGCATGAAGTTATGGAACTGGTATTATTACGTAGAAAGTAGAAGTTAGCACTATCACGTAGGTCGATCAGACAAGAAATAGCCTCAAGTTTGAGAACTTCAGCGAAAAATAACTAAATTTGTGTACTTTTATCTGTTAACTCATGACCAAGTTTTAAGTAGTAAGCAAATAAAATCTTAAGAAAATTAATTTGAGGTAGAAAAATACGACCAACTGAAGCGCAAAGCAGAATGTGAAAAAATTAGAAGTGGTAAAGATTCAATTACAGTTTAGTAGTCGCTCACTGTTAAATTAAATTGACCTGATTACATTGCTAATAATAATCGTATTGTATTGATTTTGAGTTAGCGGTAAAAAATTATAGCTATAATGTATTGTAATTTTCAAACTAATAAAACCGCAGCACTGAAAATGCATACTATAAAAAATATATTAATTTCTCTTTTGAATTTGTGTCAGACTCTCAGAATAGACGGGTGACTAATAGTGCCACGTGTTTTCCTTGTAAGTTGGAAAAAAGTAAAATACAAAACTGACACAGTCTTAGCTGTCTCAAATGGGATTTACTGGGATATTTTCTGTTTTAACCGGTTGATTTTTCCGCTTTTTCGTAACAGAGGTATTAAATTTCTTCAGATGCATTATACTTTTTCGCGCTTAGCTATATGAAGAAATCCTGAAAAGACAAGTTTTATATTGCAGACGTTTTTGTAATATCGCAAACGCCAACGTTTTCTAGAACGGCAATCGCATTCTAAGGGAAGAGGAAAAATCACGTGAAAAAAAGCGTGACGCAGTATAAAAAAAGGCAAATAATTTATGCGGAATGGAAATGGAACCTGTCAAAAAATTTAGCTTACAGTACCTAGCATAAAATTCTTGAGAGGTACATGTAAAAATGATAAAAAAAGAAGAAAAAAAATCAATTGCGGATATTTGGTGTCTCAGACAGCAAATAGATCCAATAAAAGAGTTGAAATAAACGGAAGTAGGAGGAATTTTGGTAGAAATAAAGTACAGCATATGCAAACTGATAGTCTGAAAAATTAAATTAAATTATACAGTGCTGATATAAATTATCCGGACAAAACGAACAAAACTTGAATTTTCAAACGCGTTTTTCTCAAATTGGGTTAAGATTAGACAAAAAGTGAAGAGGACAAAAGTTGC